TCTCCCTTCTTATAGGAAACCCTGCTATTCCTATTTTTTTATGTAATGTACAGTCAGAAATCTGACACCTGATAACCAACATCAAAATACCACACTGTTCCACTCAATGTTCCATTAAAATTAGTGTTCCATTAAAAACAGTACATCTCCTTGCATTTTTAATACGGTACATATGGGTGACATTGCTTCAAATGGCAGAATTGATTCAGCATACATACACTTTATTCTCTTATTTCATATGCTATCTGCCTATTTGGACATGACAAAATTGATTTCCTTAGGGATTTGGAATGATGATGAGCAATCATTTGCATTCATAAGCATGTCTACCCACTAGGAATATAGTGGAAAAATTATTTCAGTGGTCAATATTGAGGAGGCCCAAATTTTATCCTAAAGCATTTCATAGAAGACACCCCATGAAAATGTCACAAACAGCCTGTTTTACAACATATCTACATTCACAGAACATTGTTTTCTGATTATCAGATGAAAGAGATAGAAGATTGTTGAAAAAAAATAGAATGCTCTTTATTGGATACTTATGTTTAAAGTTCATCAGTGCATGACAGCATCAGCTCTCATATAAATCCATAAAATTCATGTTATTCAAAGCATGTTTTTAATAAAAATGTCAGTAACATAATGCATTGATGATTACAGTACTAAATATCATCTGCTGGGAGAAAGACAGAACATTTGCAACAGGAATGTGTTTATTAGGAAGCTTTTACAGTACAAGCTTTTTTTAAAAAATCATTCTTTTACATTAAATAACTTCCCAGCATGAAGCCAGTATGGCTGGAAACTTGAATGCTAGGAAAAACACCAGAAAAAAATTAAGAGTTCTTGATTGGACAGCACCGGTCATCTGTGCTACAACAAAACCCAAGAGTTACCCAACCAAGATTCATGGTAATACGGACAATAATTCAGCTGAATTGTTATGAACAGCCTGATTTTTTGTGGGGGGGGGGATCAATAGCAACAGAGATGAGTTTTAATAATGTTTTGCACACATCATGATAAAGAGTCTTTACCATGTAAGAAACAACCTGAAAGTTTCCCATGCATTTTCCTTAGAATTCATGAACTAGTTGCCTGGAGTTGTGAAAGCAGCCATATCCAAGCTGGACCCTCCCCTATCATAGTTACTTAAGTCCACCCAAGAAGAACCTAACGGCCTTTTAGCAGTGATGTATTCAAGTCTTTTATTCCAAGTCTCAAGTGAAGTCTCAAGTCCTTGCAAGATACTTTCAAGTCAACTGTCAAGTCTGGAAGTCACCTTTAACAGAAAAGAGAAGTGGGGGAGGGGGGTCTTGAGTTGGAAGATTCCTATGAAAGGTTTTCAAAACATGTTATGCAATGGACATGAGGTAGGACTTGAGGTCTACTCAGCAGCCTGTCCCTATTGCACATCAGGGGAGCCTTCTGAAGCTTTTCAAAAGCTTAAGAAGGCTCTTTCCACCTCACACCCATTGTCTAACATTTAATGTACTAACATTTACTGTTCCCCTCTAGAAGCACACCCCAATTTGGGCTTGAGGCAAGGTTTGAGACCTACTTAGCAGCTTGTCCCAGTGCACATCAGAGGAGCCTTCTAAAGCTTTTCCTAGGAGTAGCAGACAAGACATGCTCTCATATATTGGGATGCATTCTCAGAGGGGAACAGTAAACACATTCAGCAATGGGCTTGAGATGCAGGTCTACATGAAGTGGGGGCTTCCTGCATGGCAAATGTAGAGTACTGCTTCCATCACATGACCAGTAGGCAACAAACAGTGAGATGAAAGTGTTGTCCAAAGGAGGAAAACAGTTTCTGTTCTGTAGTTTCTGGATGAAGTTAGGCCAGTAAACCAGTCACTAAAAAATATACAAGTTGCGAGTTGAGTCAGTGCATCACTTACTGCAGAATTGAGTCCAAGTTGAGTCACTCAAGTGACCTGAGTCTGAGTCGATCAGTACAAATTGCTGGTACAATTTGCCTTTGCATCATTGCCTTTCAGACCCAGCTATCAATTCCTCCTTTGAAAACATGTATGCTCCCTTAGACTGCTGGTGTGTTATACTGTATTAGCATGGGACAACTGCTGAAAATGGGCCTCAAATTTTGGTTAGTCTACAATATAGCTGCAATACTGCTAGATGAGACCAAGCATTACAAAGGCACTACTTCAATACTGTTGTCCCTGATCGATTGGGGCTCAGATGTTTGTTTTTTATTTTAAAGTCCCTTCATGGCTTGAAGCCATGTTACCTTAACCCTTACCTAGGTGGATTTTTTAAAACTTGCATCAAGTGTTTCCTTGATGGGGTAATTTCTGGCTCAATGATAATTCTAATATATTTCAGAAGGTAAAAATGTTCCATATCCACAGGACTGTTTGTGGATGTTGAATGAAGGAGCATTCCACAATATCAATACCCCTAGAGCCAGGGGAAAAAATGTTCTCATAAAGCAAAATACTGGTTGTTAGTAGCTGACAGAGCTTTTTTTCTGTCCCGCCCTCAAAAAAATGTAATCAAGACATTTGCTATGCCCTAAAAATATTAAGATTATTACTTCCAACTAAAAAGAAAACAAGCAAAGCCTTGTTATGCATTCCAAAAACTCATAATGTACCATATTTTCTGGTGTATAAGATGACTGGGTGTATAAAACGACCCCCAACTTTTCCATGCAAAATATAGAGTTTAGAATATACTCGCCATATAAGGCTACCCCTCTTCCAAAGAGGAGCAGCCCCACCTCCCCTCCTCC